GGAGGGGAACGTGCGGCTTCTGCCCCGCTGCCGGCAAGCGCGCGCCTGGCCGTGCCCTCTGCCTGCGCGCATGCTCCCGGGCCGGCCGGGCTCACCGTCGCTGGGAAGGCTGAGCTAGAGAGCTTGGGAGGTCCTCCGAAGCTGGAAACCTAAGTTGTCGTGTGACCTGTTTCTTCCCCTCTCTTGTCCACTGCGTTTGTGTCTTAGAGTTTCTGTTCTCCCCTTTGGGTAAAGGAAAAGCTTCAGGGATGCTGCTCATGCAGTTCCCGAAGGCCGGGGCCCGGCTGTGTCTGGCCCCCCCGCAAGCTTGCCTGTAGCTCGCAGCACTCAAGGAAGGAGAGTGTGGAAATGCGATGACAGTGCAGAGACACGGGTGTCTGCGGGTTGTTGTTTTCTCTTAACTGCATGAGATGTTAGTTGCTTTGAGAGCTCCGTTTTGAATGGGGTTCCCAGACCGTTTTCTAACTGATGAATGTAGTGAACGGGCTGTTTCTGATTCACTGCGTGTCTGTGTTTTCCTAAGCCTGAGCCTCCCCGTCTGGCTGCATGGGACTGTGTGATTTTATTATTTTAAACTTGTGTGGGCAGGGCCGTCCGGGATTAGTGAAGCTGCGTGTCTGGCAGAAAGTGGCTCACTCAGCATGTCCAGCCTCTGTATGGCCAGCTCTGGGCTATAGCTTTCTTACTTCCCGTTTTTTAAAAAATGTAGCTTAAAAGAAATGGGTACCTTGGAGTTAATCAGAATTTAAAATTTCTGGTCTTATAAAAGGTACTCTTAAAAGAAGTGAATAAGCAAGCCACAGACCAGGAGGGACTATCTGTGTTGCAATATTTGTGTTTGAAAAAGGATTTGTATCCAGAATATACGTGGAAAGAACACATAAAACTTATTAATAAAAAGACAGCTTAAATTAAAAATGGGCAACACATTCGAACAGACACTTTTATACGTGTAATGAGCAGGTGATACATGCTCAGCACCCTTGGTCCCACGGAGGTGCCGCCTCGCACGCAGTAGGATGGCTGACTTTACGTAGACAGGGCTCCTCGTGTTGGTGAGAACAGAGTGGTGTCCCCACTGGGGAGACAGCTCAGCTGTGTCTTGTAATGTGGACTGTATACCTGTGCTGTGCCCAGCCACTCGCCTCCCAGGGGCTTAACTCAAGAGGAATGAAAGTGTGCCCACAAAGAAATGTGTATGAGATTATTTACAGCATTCTTTTTTTTTATTGAGTTATATACAGCATTCTTATTTAAGGGAACCCCAAAACTGGAAATAGCTTTAAATGTCTACCAGTAGATGAGTGGCTGTACAGGCTGAGGTAGTAAGACTGTTAACTCACATGGCGTGCACTTCTGGGGTGCTGAAAACGTGCTGAAACTGGATGACGGTGAGAGCTGCTGCCTCAGTAAACTCACTAAACATCACTCAGAGTGCATTCAAAATGAGTGTATTATATGAGAAAAAAGTCATGGTGAAAAAAAAAGTAACACCTCACTACGGTAGTAGGAACAAACAAGCGTGGGGTCAGGGTCAGGGTTTCAGTTGACCTCCCACAGCCAGACCCAAGTATGCCTGTGCTTCCCTGGGTCGGTCTCAGAAATCCCCGTAAATCCATGGATGTGTGTGGGAACTCTATTGGTCTTTCAAAACCTCCCGATTACCTGAAGGACTTCAATGGCTGTGGTGGTTGTTTTACAGGAAAAACATGCAGAGGAACAAACAGGTAGCCATGGGCAGGAAAAAATTCAACATGGATCCTAAGAAGGTAAGTGAAAAGGAGGCGCTGCCCGTGGTCTGTCAGGCAGGGCTTCCATGCCGTCGGCTGAGCCCAGAGGCGTTGGAGACGCCTTCCCTGCCCATCTGTGGAGCGCGGCTCACGTCGCGAGCCCTGCTTCTTGCAGAATTTAGGAAGTGCTGACTCGATCCTTCCTCTGAGTCCGAAGCACCCACACTCCTTCTTCCTCCACCCTTTTGCCCCCTTTCTGGACATTCCCGGGGCCTAAAGCACCGCTGGGATCTTGGCTGTCCCTCCAGGGCATCCAGTTCCTGATAGAGAATGGTCTGCTGAAGAACACCTGTGAGGACATCGCCCAGTTCTTGTATAAAGGCGAGGGGCTCAACAAGACAGCCATCGGAGACTACCTGGGGGAGAGGTAAGGCCCGGAGACGGACGCCTGCCAGGGAGGCTGGGCAGCTGTAGGCAGAGCACCGAGCTCCTGGGTGCCCTGAGCCCTCAGGACAGTCTTGTCCCCAGGCAGCAGCAGCCAGGCTGGTGCTGAGCCTCTGTCTGGAGACAGAAGCTGGTGTGAGGGGGGCAGGTGGGGGATCCCCCTTTCCGTGTGTGGATGGTGGCCTCCCCGAGCCCACAGACTCAGCGTGGGAGGCCACCTGGCTGGGGATGGGGGCGACCTCAGAGTCCCGGCATCGGTGTCTGACTCCTCCTTCCCCCACCCCATATCTTCTGTTTCTCTTGTTAGAGATGAGTTTAATATCCAGGTTCTCCACGCGTTTGTGGAGTTACATGAGTTCACTGACCTCAACCTCGTCCAGGCCCTACGGTGAGTGTATTTGCAGTGAGCGCCTCGGCCAGGGGAGAGGCGGGTCTTCGGTTGTGCCTCTGACCGGTCTGGTGTTTCAGTGAAATTGTACTTTTGGCGGTTATTTGAGTATCTCGAAGCATCTTAAAGGAGAGCAGTTGATTGGCCTGTGATTGGAGTAACTGGATGGCTAAATGGAATTAAATTAGAAGCAAAGCGTGCAGAACTCTTCTTCGGGGCTTTCATTTCACATTTTGGAAGTTGATAAATGTTTAAATTTTGGATCTTTTCTAATTTTGATTTAGAAAACCCTTTCATTTCCTGCCCTAGAATAGCAAGTAGGAAGTATGCCCTTCGTTTTAGAAAGAGAAAAGAAAAGTCAACTTTAATTTTTCTTGCTCAATCTGTTGTTGCCTTTTGCCTTTTGAGAAATTGTCATTTGCGGTATTTTCGTCGCCGTAAGTGTAAATAATGGCATCATCTTTTGTGTTGTCGTTCAGACAGATGAAAATAATCCAGAATAAAACCTGTTGGCCCGGGGTCTCTCTCTGACTTGGAGGGAGGGATCAGTCATGCACGCTTTAATAGAAAATCTCTCTTCCTGCCACCTCATCTTTCTTTCTGAATATTGGAGTGCTTTTAAAATGAGCATTATGAAAAATAAATAAATAAAATAGAGAACATATATTTCAGTCTTAAGTTTCAGTCAAAGAGAACTGTTCTTCTGAATAGAAAAACCTTAATTTTTCATTTTCCCTAAGTATTTTACCTCTGGGTGAGGGAACAGTGATGTGGTAAGTCTACATCTGCTCAGAGTAAAGGAACAGGAGACCGAAGGCCCCCCCGCTCCAGTCCTCCTGTGCCCTTTGCTGCAGAAATCACTCGTGGAGGATAGACTGTCCCCCAGCCCTGTGACGCGCCCTGTCTCCCCCTCCAGGCAGTTTCTGTGGAGCTTCCGGCTGCCGGGTGAGGCCCAGAAGATCGACCGGATGATGGAGGCCTTTGCCCAGCGCTACTGCCAGTGCAACAATGGAGTGTTCCAGTCCACAGGTGCCTTCGGGGTTGGCGCCGCCCGCCAGGCTCTCTCCCAGCACACAATCATTTCTACAGCTCTCTAGGAGGGCTGAGGTTCTTGCCTGGACAAGGACCTACTGTGTGGTGCAGGGAACTACATTCAGTACCTTGTAATAGCCCATGATGGAAAACAACCTGAAGAAGAACAGACATGTTTAACTGGGTCACTTTGCTGTACACCTGAAACTGATATGACACTGTAAATTATACTTCAATTACCAAAAAAAAGATTAAAAAGACAGAGCTAGAAACAATCCAAAGTCCAACAATTTTAAGATAGTAAACATGTAAGTTATGGTACTTCTGAATTCTGAAATATGCAACAGTTAAAAATCGTGCTTTTAAAAAGAGGCTTTATATTGACATGGAAAAGTGCTAATAAGATTAGCGAAAAAGCAGACTTTAGAACTGTATCTGTGTTAATTCTCACTGTGTTGCGGTCTGTGTCAGTGGGATGTGTGTGTGATGTATTACATGGGTGCATTTATGTAAGAAAGTAGAGTACGTTGTTACTAGGCAGTGGGATCATAAGGAGTTTGTAGTTTCTTTATTATACCTTGTGTTTTTCAGATTTTCTACAATCTGGAAAAAATTAGCATCTCAAACTCATTGTTTTTCAGTTTATTGAAGTACAGTCAGTTTACAGTGTTGTGTCAATTTCTGGTGTACAGCACAACTCTTCAGTCATGTGGGAACATACATATATTCATTTTCACCGTAAGTTACTACAAGATATTGAGTATAGCTCCCCGTGCTATACAGTATAAACTTCTTGTTTATGTATTTTATATACATATTTTTAGTTTATTTATTTTTATGGAAGTATAGTCAGTTTACAATGTTGTCTAAGTCATTGTTGATGCTGTATGTCCTTTCTCGTCCCCCACGCTTTGCAGTTAGCAGTGTATAACCTTTCAGTCTGAGCTCATCCCGACAAGTGGATTTTGCCCATTCCTTTGAGGGCACAGCCTGTGACTCTCAATTTCATCTGGTGTGTCTTGTTCCTTTGGGTGGGATGTTTCTAACCGCACTTCTGTGTTCCTCCTTTAGACACTTGCTACGTCCTCTCATTTGCCATCATCATGCTGAACACCAGCCTGCATAACCCCAACGTCAAGGACAAACCCACCGTGGAGCGGTTCATCGCCATGAACCGGGGCATCAATGACGGGGGGGACCTGCCCGAGGAGCTGCTCCGGGTGAGCTGTCTCTGCCCCCAGCCTGGGGCCCTGGGCTCGGTCGCCCCGATGGAGGGGAGGGTGGGGCTGCCGGTGCATCCAGTGTCGGCTCCGGCCATTCATTTAATTATGTGAATTTCATTAAGAAATTGGCGTTGAGGTCCAGCAGTTTATCAGTCTGAAACTGGCAGCTCAGATAGGAGTCAGGCTGATTGATTTTCTTTCTTGGTTGTCCGCTGGCCTCGTATTTGTTTTGTCTCTGTGAGCTGCCTGAAGGTAGAGACGTTCTCCACACCTGTCAGCGTGGTGCCGCTGCGCTCCTCACATGAATGCCAGGGAAGGGGATGGGCAGGAGGTGCTTCTAGAATCAGAGACATGCAATGTCGTCTTTCATCCCAGAATCTGTATGAGAGCATAAAAAATGAGCCCTTTAAAATCCCAGAAGATGATGGGAATGACCTCACTCACACTTTCTTCAATCCAGACCGAGAAGGCTGGCTGTTGAAGCTTGGTGAGTAACGCCCTCCAGGTTGGGGCTCCTGAGGCGGGAACTTAGACAGAAGGGCCGTGTGTGCGCTCGCGCATGCGCTGTGGGGAAGGGGGCTGGCGCCAGAGGCCCAGAGGAGGGACTTTGCTGTGAATTCATACTGTTCGAACAAGATTGCCTCCAGGAGGGAGGTGACTGCACAGCCGGTGCCTCGAGACCGCAGGGACTCTGGGGCACAGATGTGCCCGCATAAACGTTGCCCCGGTGTGGGGCCCCACATTCCCGAGCGGGATTTGTTTCAAGGCGGTTCCCGGAGGACCTGGTCCTTTGCCCTTCCTGCTCCGCAAGCACCAGGGGGGCAGCCAGCTGTGCCCCCTACTTCCCATCACGCACGGTGGTTCCCGGCGCCCCCTCCCCGCCCAGCGCATCATCACCTCCTTCTGCATCTGGCTCCCCACAGGCAGCGTGCATGGCAAGCCCGGGCCTGGCTGCAGCGCAATCACCGCACTCTTACTCATCCGCGGGCGCGGGGCCCCTCCTTTCCGTCCGGAATCAGCCACCTCAGTGGTCTCATTCATTCAGAAAGATTAAAAACTGGTCCTTCTCCCTCTGCCAGAGTGAGCTCGTGCTGCAGAGGATTGCGTCGTGCCTTGCCCTGAAGGGACGGAGAAACCGGAAGGGAAAAGAGCAGTGGGCTTCCTGGGCCGTTCACGTGCACATGTGGTCCCTTCACTGCTGGGGGGCCGAGCGCGCCCGTGGGCGGAAGGAGGGCACTCTGGGGGCCACTGAGAGAGCACATTCCTCTGTTCCCTTCTGTCTTGGCCCTTCCAAGCTCCCCCAGTATCAGGAGGTGTCATTAGAACAGTCCTCCTCCACCCTTTCAGCTACTGGCGCCGGTGTGATCAGAAGCCATCACGCCCTAGGCCGTTACTGGCACATCGGGGAAGCCCTGAAATGGAACCTTTAATTTCTGACTAGTTCAGAGAGCAGTAGGCTTTATTTTCCCTTTTCAAAGCACATCCCAAATCTTTGTGTTTACACATAATGACCTAAGTCATACATTCTCCATAAAGCACCACTTCACTGATTGGAGCCTTAGAGATCTTGAATTTGTCAACACTTCACATATCTTTAAGCCAGTAGAATCTCTGAAGTTAAGGCTCTAAAATTACTCACCCCAGAGGAAGCCACTCTGCTCTGCATCTGTATTGCTGGGTGGATGGAGTTAAAAGGAAACCTGCTGGTGATTTAAAAAGTGCACCCAAGTTTGGCTTTACTTCCCCCTCCCACAAAATTTGTTTAAATGCTGATACTGAATGTTAGCTTTGACAGCGCAGATACTACAATTAGAACAGTACCAAGATTATCTTGGTTCTTATGCCAGGATGACATGTAAATTCATGAGGCGTCCCATATCTTTTAAAACTAAAAAACATTTCTGGTTTCTGGGTCACTGCATTACTTTCCCCGCACCTCCACCAAACCCTCCTAAACCCTTCACGTGTGTGCCCGTCATCGCACACTTAGAGTCAGCTCTTCCCATGTATGTGCCGCAAAAGGCGGGCCTTCCGGCCGGCCGCAGTTACATGTATATGTCTGTGTGTGCGTGAAACCATGAGAACGTGTATTCTCGTGTGTACACTTATGTACAGTTGCATTCACAGGCCTGTGTGTGCACATTTTTACATACACTCTAAAAAGTGATAGCCATCCAAAGGAAGACATTTGATTTTCCCCAAAGTAATCTTCACTGTCTTTGCTTTGGATTCTGGATATACTAGTGAACATTGGTTTTGTGAGAACTGATTTGTGGCATCTTTGAGGCCAGCTTTTTGGTGGTGCCTTGACCTTGCCTTTTCCCCAGTACAATGTGGCTGGTGAGGCAAGCTCCTGCATCACAGGCCAGACCCTGAGGTTCGCCCCGCCCAACGCAGACACAAATGACTAATACAGTGCACTTTAAGATGAAAGGAGTTGGGTTTAATTTCTTTGTTTTAATTTTCTTTTCTCCCTCATTTGTATGTTTCCATGATTTTGGCTCTCCTTTTCCTTGCCCCAAACTCCAGGAGGTATGTAATCCCCTCACCCTGCTCGCTCGCTCTGCCCAGGCCACTGTAACTGCTGCAGCGTTTTCTTATTTTGTTAATTTTGGTCATTTTGTTTTTTAATTGCTGGTGGTAGTGTTAATGCTGCTTCTAACTTACCGTACAGTCCCTAGGGAACTGGTCAGGATCAGGGGTGCGGAGCGATTTTCACGCCTTCCCTTTTCAGGGTAGTACATGGCGCATCCAACAGCTCAGGACCAAGATGTGGGCTAATTTCAATTTTCCTGAGCACTGTAGTGCAGGAAAACATACTGGGAGTGGGTTCGCAGAAGGAGAGAGTACTCACTGAATTCTCTCTTGGAATCTCTGGCCAGGCATGCGC